CCCCCCCCCTGAGCCGCCAGCCCGCACCGAGGTCCAGGCTCCGCGCTGTGTTCTGTCCCCTCAACCCCAGGGTCCTGGGGGCTCCTGGCTCAAGAGGCCAGTGCAGGTCGCCCTGCCCGCAGCTCCCCAGCGGCCGCCTGCCTGCGGCTGGGCTCTGGGCGCTCCAGCCCCCCTACCTTCTCATAGTCTTCATCTGAGTCCTTGCCACCAGCGTCGGCCTGCGGGGTGTCGGGCTGGGAGGGGAGACGGGGCCTTTCGAAGGAGAAGCTCCTAAAACTCTGCCCATCAGGAGGTGATCGCCTGGAAGGGGAGCAAGGAGATGCCTGTGTCACACAGGGCAGTGCCCCGTTCCCCTCGACACACCAGCCCCGCGCTCTCTGAGTGATGCACCAGGCTCAGCCTCGGAACCCACGGGGTCTGGCTGCTGCAGCCTGCGGCTGGGAAAGGCCCTGGGAGAGGTCTGTGCTGACCAGCCTGAGGTGGCAGGGATCGCCTGGGACCTAGAAGCCTGAGCTGGGGCCAGGGCTGACAATGGGAGCCTGACCTCCAGTGCTGTCAAGTGCCCCGGGCGCTGTGGGAGAAGACCCAGGCTGGAGGCATCTCAGCCCCAGCTCTGCCACTGACCAGCTCTGTGACCCCTCCCGGAGCCACGGCGTGGATAGATATAAAAGGGGCTGAGCCCAAGGGACATGCCCCACACGAGAGCCCAGGGGGTCGCAGGGAGAATTAAAGGAGACAACCCAGGATGGGCTGTTGGACTGTGGGTGAGACTGTGCTGTGGACCATTGACCCTGGGCTTGGCACAGTGACAGCCTAACACCACTGTGGCCCTTGTGAAACAGGTGAGAGCATGGCAAGGCGTCCTTCCAGGCACCTCCCACAGGCAGCAGGGCAAATAAGAGCCCTGGGGAGCCCTGGCCGGATGGAGCATCAACCCATACACCACAAAGTCACAGGTTCGATTCCCGGTCAGGGTACAGCAGGTTCAGGAGGCAAACGATTAATGTTTCTCTCTCTTTCTCTCCCCCTCTCCCTTCCTCTCTAAAATCAATTACAAATAATAAAAATCAATAAACATATTCTTGCCCGGCTGGCGCGGCTCAGTGGTTGAGCATCAATCTATGAACCAGGAGATCAAGGTTCAATTCTGGGTCAGGGCACATGCCCAGGCTGCAGGCTAGATCCCCGGTTGGGGGCGTGCAGGAGGCAGCCGATCAATGACACACATCATTGATGTTTCTCTCTCTCTCTCTCTCCCTCTTCTCTCTGAAATCAATAAAAATATATAAACAAACATAGCTTCAGGTGAGAATTAAAAAAATAAATCCTGGGGAGAAGGGTGCTGGGTTGAGGTTGGGGGTGTCCCAGAGCCCCAGCTAATGCACGCACTCGAGACCCACCCCTCTGGCTTCCAGGACCTTCACTGCCTGGGTATCTCTGACCACAGGCTGCTGACACTGGAAGTGGGGACACTGGTCTCCTGGTGCTGCCCAGCAATGAAGCAGAAAGCATTTGGAGCAGACCTCAGGGTGAGTCACAGTCATGTTCCACATTCCAAAAGCTGCCCGTAGGGAAAGGCACAACGGCAGCCTTGGTGGCTCCAGAGCCAGGAACACACCCAGAGCCCCAGGCAGGGTCCACAAAGGTTCACAGCTGAGCTCCTGTCCTCACAAGGCCTCTCCCAGGGCAGGCAAGCAGCCGTGCAGGCCCCTCCTCGACCCCAAAGGCCCTTGCTTGGCACAGCAGGAGCTCTGAAAGCCTTGTGTCCCCAGAATCTACCCCCTTGCCCACTGCTCCCTGAGGCAGCCATGGGCTCCAGGCTCAGCACCCCCTGGGCTGGATATCCCTCGAAGGCAAGGCTGGACACCCCTTGGACCCTGGATTAGGTACAGAGACTGCCACTTGGCCTAGGCAGAGCCTTTCTACTCAGTGTAGGGCTGACTGCCACCCACCGTGGGTGGTGCCAGGGGTAGGGAAGCCAGGGTGTCATGGGAGAACTGCCCAGACTGGGAGGGGTCCCAGCGGCAACAGCGCCAGCAGACTCACTGGAGGTGAGGGAGGGGCGGCTTCTCTGGCCTGGGCAAGACCACAGGCCGGGCTGGGGCCTCCGGCACTGGCAGCTTCAACACAGGAGGCCTGGGGGCCACAGGAGGCACAAAGAGTCCCGGCCTGGCTGTCTCCCTCGGGGGTGCCTCTCCAACCACCTTCAGGAACTTGGGCTTGCTGGCTGGCACAGGTGGGGCCTCAGGCATGGGTGGTCCCCGGGGGGACAGGTGGAAGGACTTGAGTTTATCACAGTTCCTGGAGGAGGCCGTGGCCATGCCGGCAGAGCTGACTCCGTGGCTGGGGATCCGGGACTCCGGGCCAGGGCTGGTGCTCTCAGAGAAGCAAGGGGCCTTCCGGAGGTTGGGCAGGTTCCCCACTGGGGGGTCACTTGCTCTTCGGGACACAGCAGGCACCCTGAGGCCAGGCTCCACCCACCTCGGGCCTAGCGGGTCCCTCCTGGAGTCCTCAGGAGCCAGGCCAGCATCAGGGAGGCCACGCTTAGGGAGTGGGGGTGGCAGCAGAGGGCCCGGGCCCTTGGAGGTAAAGGAGTGGGCCCGGGGCATGTCGGAGAAGGCTGGTTTCCTGGGTGTGGGCACGGGAGGTGGGGGGTAGGCTGGTGGGTGCGTCAGGATATCTGCAGAGCAAAGACACCAAGTTGGTGAGCAAGTGTCACCTGCTGGAGGCGGGGCCAGCACCACCTCTGCTGGTAACAGATGG